TTTCTTTCTTTCTTTCTTTCTTTCTTTCTTTTTTTGGAACCGGGGATTGAACTCAGGCCCTTGCGCTTGCCAGGGAAGCACTTATTCTACTGAGCCATGTCCCCAGCCCCTGTTGTTTCTTGATACATGGTCCTGCACTGTAGCCCAGTAGCTCAGGCTGGACTTGAACTGCAGCAATTCTTCTGCCTCCCTGAGTGCTGGGTTTACAGGCCTGCAGCACCATGCCCACCTTCACCAGGCCTCCCTTTTCTTTTGACTTTTTTTTTTTTTTGTTGGCAGAACTGGGGATTGAACTGAGGCCCTTGTGCTTGCCAGGGAAGCGCTTATTCCTCTGAGCCATCTCCCCGGCCCCCTTGACTTTTTTTTTGACAGGGTCACAATTTCATACTTTGTAGCTCAGGTTGGCTTTGAACTCATTTTGTAGCCCAGCCTGGCCTTGAACTCACATTGATCTTTCTGCCTCAGCATCCCACATGCTGGGATCATAGGCGTGTGCCACCACGCCCGGGTCCCCAGCCCTATGACTATCTCCTTGAAACACAGGTATCCCGGGCTGCTCCGCTCCCCAATGCTGGCACCCATATTCTTCTTTGTTGTTGTTTGCTTTTGTTGTTTTGGGGCAGGGTCTCACTATGCAGTTCAGGCTGACCTTAAGCTCACTTTGTAGCCCAGGCTGGTCTGGAAGGATCCTCCTGCCTCTGTCTCCTCCCCCTGCAGGAGACACATCCGGCCAGCCGGCACCCTTCTTAGTTTTCCCTCTGGCAGCACAGCGGCCTGAGGAGACAGAGAAAGGGAAAGGGCTCAGAGGGAGGGAGTTCCCGCTCCTGATCTCCAGCATCAGTTCCACACCTCTCCAGCTGGCATCTTTGCTTTGTAAACACAGATCAGCTGTGGAAGCAGGGACGGTTGGCAAAGGTGGGGTCTTAGCAAAACATGTCGTTGGGGTTGTGTGAGTTTCTTTTGACGAGTGGGAGACGGGAAGAGTGGGAGACGGGAAGAGTGGGAGAAATGTCAAGATTCTTTGAGGGGTGGATTTAGGGAATGGGGAGGAACATGGATATTGATATTGTTGTCTTGTCCTACATATAGGAATCCAAGCCTAAAATTTTGTTTCTTTGATAACTATACATTTCATCCCTACAAACTGTTAAGAGTGGGGAAGCAGTGGCCTTAAAGGGTCCAACAGTACTGCTGGCCTGAGGCAAAAAGAGAAACACTCAAGAAAGGGCCCAGAGCAGAGGGCTGGCTTCACTTCCCCTCTCAGGGCTGGCCAGGCCTAGAGGTCTAGCAAGGTCCCAGGTAATGCAAAAAGTAGCTTTTTTAATTTTTTTTTTTTTCTTTTGCATCACTGAGGAGCTTTTTAGTTTGTATTCTGAGACAAGGTCTTGTCAAATAACCTGGGCTGGCTTTGAACTACTAGCCTTCTGCCTCAGCCTCCTGGAGTAAAAACTGTTGCTTTTTTTCTATTATACTGTTCACTTGTTTCAAATAAAAATCAAAAAGTAAATAAATAAACCAGTTTGGTGACTTGGAACACAGATTCCTGACAGAATTTCAGTGAACAGTCACCATTGGTCAATTCCTGGGGAAACAAATATTGAGTAGCTAGTATTTTTTCCTTTTTTTTTTTTTTTAAATTCCTATATCAACAGAGTAGATACTTCCATCTCTGTTTACAGATAAACACAGAGATGTAGTCAGGTGTGGTGAGAGGCACACATAGCCCAGAAATCCACCTACTCAGGAGGCTAAAGCAGGAGGGTCACAGGTTCAAGGCCAGCCTGGGCAATCTGGCAAGACCCTGCCTCAAAATGAAAAACAAAAAGGTTGGGGGTGTAACTCAGTGCATAAGTGCCCATTCAATCTCCAGGACACTGACCACCCTGGATTTAGTAAAGTAGCTTAGCTTTCTTGTAATCTCAGCCAGTAACCCCAGCGCTCAGGAGGCTGAGGCAAGAGGATGGTTGTGAATTGGAGACCAGCCTGGGCTACAAAGTGAGCATAAGGCTAGCCTGGACTGCACAGGGAAAGACCTGTCTCAAAAAGACAAAAAATAAAAATAAATAAATACATAAAATAAAGCAGCTGAGCAAGAGTCTATCCAGTAATGGTATAGAAAAGTAATTACCAAAATACTACCTCAAGCAAACCAAGAGAACCTACCGCAAACCTCCCCATAGCAAGGTAGGTGGGTAGCGGCCACGGAAGCATCCAGGTGGCCCAGGGCCTTTCTTCTGGTTTTTGCTAAAAGCCAGCAGTCCTGGCGGAATGCCTTTCCTTTCTAAAAATCTGTAAAACAACAAGGAACTGAGGCAGAAATTCCTCTGACCCCTGGCCAGGTGCCCCATGTAGTTCCTTAGGACCTCGGGGAAGGAAAGCTAGGTGGGGGACTCCAGGGGCCAGGGACGCCCCTTCCTTTATGGGGGAGGTAGTGAACCCGAGGTCTGGGGCCCTGCTGGGTTCACACCCCCCACCCCCGCCGGGCTTCAGGGGCCCGTCTGTGTCGCCCACAGCAGCCTCTGCATGACAATGGTCAAGGTGCCCCCGGCAGACGGGAATTCTCCGGGAATTCTCGAGGGCGTGGGGGGCGTGGGGCGGGTGGGGCCGGCGCCTTATAAGGTTGCAGCTGGCCGGCAGCCTGCAGACCTGATGGGCTTCGCCCAGCTCCTGTAGTACTGGGCGGTGTGGGAGTCTCCCTTTTATTATACAGCTTTTAGATCCTAAAAAAGGAATTTGGTCTTTTCCAACCATCATAAACTCCGCCCCCCGGTCTTTATTTTTTTAGTTACTTTTTTTTTTTGCTGCCGGGAATCGAACTTTCGGCCTCGCGCTTGGTACGTAGGCGCTGCGCCGCTGAACTACATCCCGGCCCCAACCAGTATAAAACTTCTTCAGTTGATTTGTTTTCCTCCGCCGACCACCATGAGTGTGGACCCGGACTGCCCCCCAACCCTGTCTTGCTCCGAAGCAGCGGAATCCGGGGACCCTTCGCCGAAGCCTGAGGTTCCGGGGCCTGCAGAAACCTACGACTCCCCCCAGATGACCGAGGCCGACGTGTCCCTCTGCGAAGCTGGTAAGAAACCTCTCCCAGAAGCCAGGCTCCTCGGAAAAGGAGAAGGGAAGGGGGGGTCCTCTCCTCCTGGAGAGAGCAGGCTCGTCCTGAGCCACGCGGCCGCGTCGGGCCCTCGGACGCCCGCTGCGAGGTGCCTGGGTGGCCCTGCCGCCTGGCCCGTGGTGCGCATTAGAAAACACGCGGAAACGAGGGTGGCAGTGACTGGGGGCTGCACGCGGGTCCTCACCTCAAGTGAGCACCCCGAGGAGGTGCTGCCCCAGTCTCAGGGTGACAGCTGTCCCGCAGTTCGCGCCTCCCTCGGCGGAAGAGAGGTCTGTAGCTCGCTTCAAAGTCTACTTTGGCTGCACAACTTGCCCCAGTGCACCGAGCGGGATGAAGTAGGTTTATTTATTTTTGTGGAACCGGGGATTGAACTGTGCTTGCCAGGCAAGCGCTTATTCTGAGCTATCTCCCGGGCCCATTAAGTAGGTTTAACAGCCGTGGACCTGATGGCCCTGTCTGCAAAACTTGTGTTGTGTTTTGTTTTGTTGTACGGGGGATTGAACTCAGGATCTTACACTGAACCAGGCAGGTGCTTATGCCCCTGAGCTAAATCTCCAACCCTGCAACACTTGCAGAGAAGGGAAGTAAACAAAACGATGGCTATTGCATTTGAGTATTATTATATATCATTTGGTATTTGTTTTTTGCTGTTGTTTGGAGGTAGGGTCTCGCTGCATATCCTTCAACTCATTTTGTAGCCCAGGCTGGTCTCGAACTTGCAGCAATCTCCTGCCTCAGCCTCCTGAGTGCTGGGATTACAGGCATGTACCATCATGCTCAGCCCTGACCATTATATAGTCTAATGTCCATCTGCTTTCTAGGGGCTGGGGAGATAGCTCAGTTGAATAAGCGCTTGCCTGGCAAGTGCAAGGGCCTGAGTTCAATCGTCTGCTTTCTAAATTTTGGATTAATGTTGTGGCATCTATGATGATGTCAAGTGTTGTAAACAAGTGCAGGGTTGTGGGCAGTAACTTGGGGAGGAGCCAGGTGACGGACCTCCAAAAGAGCCCAGGACAGTGTGGATCCCGGCCCTGCTACTCTGTCTCAGGGTTGGGTATTGTTCTATTCTGGTTTGTGGTGCTGGGCATGGAACCCAGGACTTCTACTAAGCTACACCTTGAAGCCTTTTTTGGTACAACCTTAACTTGCTCAGGCTGGCCTTCAACTTTTGATCTTCCTGCTTCAGCCTCTTGGAGAGTGCTAAGATTAGAGGCTTGGGCCACCAGACTTGGCTACTTTTATTTAGCATGTCCCACTTGTAGCACTTAGCTGACTCTCCTTTTTAGCCTGGCAAGCAGGAGATGGTGAACTTTGTGCTGTCTTTTTTTTTTTTTTTTGCGGAACCAGGGATTGAACTCAGGCCCTTGCGCTTGCCAGGGAAGCACTTATTATATTGATCCATCTCCCTGGTCCTTGCTGTCTTAATGCTGTCCGTATAGCCGGTGACCAGGAGCAGAGAACCGCTCACAGTGCAAATGGTATTTATTCCCCTGGCTACTGAGCCATAGAGAGCATGCCATGCTCAGGGCGCCACTGCCTCCCTGCTTGAGGCCTGGGCTCCATTGTTAGCACCAAAAAATAAAATGAAGAGAGTTAAAACATATATCATACGGAGGGTTGAATAAGAAAAAAAGAAATCAAGTGTGGTGTCCCACACTTACAATCACAGTGGGAGGCTGAGGCAGGAGGATCATGTTGAGTTTGAGGCTTGTTTGCCCAACATTAGAGTAAGAACTTTTCTCAAAGCAAAACAAAACAAAACAAACCCTGAATCAAGTCCCCACACTCTGGAAGACTGAGGCAGGAGGGTCATAAGCTTGCTCACAGCTAGCAAGACTTTGTTTCAAAATGGAAGAGAATTAAGATGGTACTCATTACCTAGTACATTCAAATACTGGAAAACCTGAGCAGAACCCTGTTTCTTTGTCCCCAGCAGCCTCTCCCTTCCCTTCCTCCGGGGACCTGCACGTCCAGGAGACACCCGACTCCTCCACCAGCCCCTGTGTCCCCCTGCCTGACTCCCTGGAGGCCTTGCCCAAGAAAGGGGAGGTGAAGGTCCGCATGAAAAAGCAGAAGGTTCGCACTGTCTTCACGCAGACGCAGCTCTGTGTGCTCAAGGACCGCTTCCAGAGGCAGAAGTACCTGAGCCTGCAGCAGATGCAGGAGCTCTCCAGCTTCCTGAACCTCAACTACAAGCAGGTGGGGTGTGTAAGGCTGCAGGAAGGATGCTGAAAAGCTTTGCAGACAAACACTAGCTGCCCTGGTGTATGTCTACACGATTTTTCTGTTGGAAAATTTCTGAGGCAGGGTCTTACTAAGATGCCCAGGCTGGTCCTGAACTTGTGGTCTTCCTGCCTCAGTCTCTACTGGATGCAGTTACAGGTGCTCCTATGCCTGGGTCTTACCTTTACTCTTCTCCATGCTTTTACTTACCATCCAGATAGTCATTTATTTTTTGCTTATTGTCTGTTCTGTTTTTTTTTTTTTTTTTTTTTTTTTTTTTTTTTTTTTTTTTTTTTTTTTTTTTTTTTTTTTTTTTTTGTGGAACTAGGGATTGAACTCGGGTCCTTGCGCTTGCCAGGGAAGCATTTATCCTACTGAGCCATCTCCCTGGCCCCTGTTTTTGTCTTTTTGAGACAGGGTCTCACTATGCAGTTCAGGCGGGCTTTTTAAAATATATATCTTAGGGAAGGATCTGTAGGATGTTCAGTTTCTCACTACTAGATTGGACTCATAATGATTTGCCTGTTTCTAGCCTCCTGAGAGCTGGGATTACAGGCGTACTCCAACACGCCTAGTGTCAATTGCCCTCTCAGTGTGCCCCGGGGGGGCGGGGATTGATCCCCTAGCCCCAGCACCTGCTTGCAGGTGCTTTAATCTGCTAAACTATTTTGCCTGCCCTTCAGGCAGGCCTTGAACTCACTTTGAAGCCAAGGCTGGTCTCGAACTCTGCAATGATCCTCCTGCCTCAGCTATTGAGTGCTGGAGTTACAGGTATGTAGCACCTTGCCTGGCTAGATGTTCACTTATTTATTTATTTTTTTTTAAATTTATTTATTTATGTGTGTGTGTGTGTGGCCAGCTCAGCCCACCAGGGGGTGGTGCTGGCTGGCATGTGGTGCTGGGGGATTGAACTGTGGTCCCTGTGTTTTGCTTAGCTTAGCTTGTTCTAAATAGGTGCTTTAGACCACTGAGCCATCTCACCAGCCCAAGATGTTCACTTATTAAATATGAATTTATCTTTATTAAAACGCTCTTGCCGAGGTGTGGTGGCACATGCCTAGTTTGTAAAATCCCAGCACTTGGGAGGCTCAGGCAAGAGGATCACCAAGAGTTCAAGACCAGCCTGGGCTATACATATAGCAAGACCCTGTCAAAAAAATAAGGGGCTGGAGAGATGGCTCAGTGGTCTAAAGCACCTACTTGGAACAAGCTTGGCAAAGCATAGGGACCGCGGTTCAATCCTCCAGCACCACATGCCAGCCAGCCGCGCCCCCTGGTGGGCTGAGCTGGCCACACACACACACACACACACACACTAAATGTTAAAATAAAAAAAAATAATAAATAAATAAATAAATAAAACCAAGAAAAATAGCTCCTTGGCTTACATAAGTGGTATACAGTTTTTATTTTATTTTTATTTTTATTTTTTTTGTGGAACCGAGGATTGAACTCAGGCCCTTGAGCTGGCTAGGCAAGCGCTTATTCTACTGAGCCATCTCCCTGGCCCCAGTTTTTAAGTTTTATGATACATTATTGAATTCCAGTTAGATATTTGATAAAATATTTTTATGTTTTTTAATCTTTTTTTAAAAAAAAATTTATGTATATGTGCGTGGCCAGCTCAGCCCACCAGGGGGCGGGGCTGGCTGGCATGTGGTGCTGGGGGATCGAACCGCGGTCCCTGTGCTTTGCTAAGCTTGTTCTAAGTAGGTGTTTTAGACCACTGAGCCATCTCACCAGCCCAGAATAATGTTTTTTTAAAAAAATCTTTAGGGGGCCTGCCCCTTAGCTCAGTTCTTT